ACACCATGTTTCAATCCGCTCAACTATGATTCTTTCAAACCACTTTCCAAGGTTTGGTAAGAGGGAAATGGATCGTAATCGATCCTCCGCTGGGTACAAACCGTCCTTGGACAAACATATACCCCGTTCTCTCTTTCTCTCTCTCTCTCTCTCTCTCTCTTGTACAATATGTGTTTTTCCCAGTTTCCCTAAGACATCTTCCGGTAGCTAAAATATACTATATATAGCTGTTAATTTACTGACATAAAGTGTGTGTAACAATTACATTCTTCTTTGGCTATTAACCATTGGACGCAAAACGATTTCGAAAGGAATAACCTAACAGACTGATTTGAATTTATAATTATTTACGGCCTATTTTTACTCTTTTATATTATAATATTGAATTTTTTTAAATAAAAACATCTAGAATGAAGGAAGCGTTGGTATTTTGTAGAAGTCATGCACGAGTATCAAAGCGAAGAATATAGAAAAAAATGACCTTAAATTACATTTGTTTCAGATTTCTTATTTAACTTATTATAACTTCTGTTTCTGCAACTAACCGATGTTCTGTTTGAGAGCTGTTGTCTTGTACGTATTTATATTTAGCATTTGAATGTAAAGAAATGACAAAATTGCCACATTTTTATTGAATAGGTGTATTTTGATTATTCGATTTATTTGTCTTCTTACATTCAGTATATTCCTTTTCTAACATTTTATACATAAGCTCAATTAAGGCTGAAGTTAAATCAATACTGTCTACGTGCATTTATTTCAAGGTTGATTCTATACTACTTGTAAAATTTAATGTTTTGAATGGAATACTTACTTCTCATTCTATTCCAATTTTTAAAGAAATGTGTCATTTGTTTTGATTTTTTTTAAAGCAAAAATTAATTTAATTAAAATTTTTTTAAAATAAAAATCTATTTAAATTCGCTTTTTTAAAACTTCTTTTATAAAATGTTTAAATTAATATTTAAAAAAATTCGTTCTGCGTAAAAGAAATGTAGTTAAATTCATTTCTATCTCAATGAATCTGGTTTTAATTTTTGTAAAATGACTAATTATTTAAATTTCCTTTTTCTTCAAATAAAACACCATCTCACACGGAGATGCAGAATCAAGAATCTTCAGGATTTTTGTTGGTGCACCCTAGGGTTCAGTTTTAGCAGCCTTATTGTTTCGTCTCCATATTCAGTTTCTGCCCTATTACTTCGCTCAAATAATGTCTCACTTATGTGCCGATGATCTTACTATGGTCATAAAAGGAGCACTTGAAATGAAGCTGTCTGATAATATTAAATTTTTACAAAGACAGGCAAAATCAGTTCTGAAAGACTTAGAAAAGTTTGCAGACGATCACATACTGCCTGTGAACGTAGCAAAAACAAAAGCAATGCTCGTTCACAGTGCAGTAGCTACTTCAAAACCAAAAATTAAATATAAGGGAATTCCCATAGAATATGTAAATTCTTTCAAGTTTTTGGGAGTAGAAATTGGATCAAAATTAGGTTGGGGAAATTTCATAAAAAACCGATTAAAAAAAGTGAGGAACATTTATTCAGGATTGAGAAAAATCTTTAAAACAATACCTAAAACCGAAACTAAACTTCGCCGCAAACTTTTCTGTGCATACGCCTTACCTCACTTCATTTGGCTGTTTGTTACTTGGTTTCTGTATACTGAAAGGTAACAAGCAGAGATTGAGCACGTCTACTGTTCAGGTCTAAGAATTATCTACAATCTCGGGGGCTGGGAAGATCACATTACTCTCGCTATCACTAGAGAATTATCTTTAGGTGATTACATTTTAAGGTATTGGATTAAATTTTCTAAACATCTCGAAGAGTCTCTCGAAGGAGTAATGTATCAACAAACTTTTACAGCTTTTCTCGCTACTTCTCCAACCAAAATTTATTATAAAAGTTGTGGTTTTGGAAAAATTCAAAATTTCCTAATAGACTTGCAGAGAAGGCTCAACATACGAAGTTGGATTACTTATCCTTTGTGAATATACAAAAAAAGCAATATAAAATCTTCAAAAAATCTTCCAGTGTCCTAGAGTGGGCAGTTTTAAAGTTCTTTCCACGTTCACCTTAGTTTTTATACACAACTTCCTAAAAACATGCAATGTATCTATTATCACTCTTCTTCTCATTTTCTATCTATTTATTTATATGTTTATTTTTGAATGAGCATTTTTCGGTTGTAATTAATAAAGAGGAATTCCATTTTACTATTAACAAAGTTCTAAGTTTTAATTGCAAACCCTGGAATTGTTTAAATTCTTTTTAGTTTAAGTTCACTATGTTATTATTTTTGTTAACCTTTTTTAGGAACAATAAAGATTTTCAATGTCAAAAAAACAACAACAAGTATATTTGGTTTAAGCTTCAATCTTTCAAGATTAAAGCTTAAACCAAGTATATTTCAATGCATTTGTTTAGAAGAAAATAAATCTGTTGAAATAGATTGTTTTAAAAATTGATTTGAATAAATTTTTCTTACAAGCTTTTTAAAATAATAAATAAATTACCCTCCTCTCTTCATTCTCCCCGTCTTTCAATGTTTAGGGTCTTCCATCAAAGACGTAAATTAATTCTTTTAATCTTTGCTGGTTCAGGCGTGGCATCGTATGTTCTGAGAGTCTTAGGACCAATGTTACTTTGGATCTAGTAATTCAGAAAACGAAGGGAAACACGGGTAATCAACCACGCTGAATCTCATGGCAACATTTGCTTTTCAAATAAGTTCTAAAAACCTCATTCTCCCACTGAAAAAAATAATCAAAATTCTTGCAGGATCCCGCAGGACTTTGCGCAGGATCCGGCGGGTTATCGGTATTAAAATATCTGGCGATGTTTCTTACCTTTACGCAGGATTTTTATACTGCCAGCCCTGACAGAACCCTGCATAGTTTATGTAGGGTCAGCATGGAAAAAATCCTGCGTAAAGGTAAGAAACATCGCAAGGCTTTTTGACTTATTCAATCCACAAGTTTTTTCCTACGAGATCTGGCAGAATTTTGTTGGTTGAAAGAAAAAGGATTTGTTCTCCATGTCTATCCTGCGGTATCCAGCAATCTTTTCTCGCCAATGTCCGTCAGGATAACTGTGGTGGAAGTTGTCTGTAGGAAGTTGTCTGTATTTTATTGTTTTGGAAAGTTAAGTACTTTTTTCTTATAAAGTTATAAAAAAATTCTCTCGTGTTCAATAAACTTCTAGAAAACGTCCCGTTTATTTTCTAGCATTCTATTCATTTTTTTCTACCAACTGTGTACTAATTAATAGTAATATAAGTCCTTAAGATAACGTAGGAAACTGATACACGGCTGATATATTCATACGTTGATACGTGTCAATATGGACTAGTTCGTTTTTCTAAACCTGGATCAATAGCTATTTAATTTTAACCAAGTCATTTTGTATACTCCATGATAGAATTTAACTGTTTAATGGAAAAGCTTTTGCAAAGAAACAATACTCATGAATGAAACAATGGCAAGGATTTGACGAAACGAGAGGCTGAAAGTTTACAACAATTGTGATAATAAATCGAAGGAGTATTTTACACGATATGAAAATGGTACTTTGTCTGGAACTGAACTTGCAATTAAATGTAGCAAATGTGTTAATACTTTAAAATAACTTATAAAGCCATCTATCAATTTCTTACATTATCTTAATGAATTATATTAATATTGATTAGTATACAGTTGATAGAAAAAAACATGAATAGTTATAAAATGACTAGAATGCTAGAAAATAAACGGAACGAAACAAGTATGGGACGAAATGAGAGTAATCCCTTTGAATACTCTGTTGAATGGTATATAATTTAAAAACTTCGGTAAAACATGGACAAGTTATAGTTAAAAATATTAAGGTATACATTTCCGGAAGTTTATTCGACACGAGAAAAGCTTGTATGACTTTACAAGAAAAGATGCAGAAGTACTTAACTTGCCCAAAATAAAAAATACAGACAAGTTCCTCCACAGACAAGTTCACCCTGCACAGACATTGATGAGAAAAGATTGCAGAATGCCGCAAGGTAGACATGGCGGACAAAATCCACAAGCTACAAGTTTTTATCATCATGAAAAAATCCTACAGACCTTGCAGAGTTTGCGTATTGAGATATCTTGTGTATTACAAGTGATAAGAGGAAGGAAAAAATTCCGCAGGCTTTGCAAAGTGAAGCATCTGCGAGATATATCGCATGAACGCATGTAAAAGTTCCTGATGGTGTGCCTAGAGAAGAATCCTCCAGGATCCTACAGAAAAGAAACTTGAAAAGTGAGCGTGTTAATGAATCCTGCTCAATTATATTCATCAACTTGCAGGAAAATTTTCGGCGAGGTAACGTGATGTAGAAACTTGCAGTATATATCCAACATTCACAGGATTTTTTCAGATTGCTGCGTGTCAACGCAGGAATTCGTAAATTTTTTTTCAGTGGGTAGGTGCCAATTATGGGTGAGGGACTACTCCCTGTTTTTATATAGCAAGCAAAAGGGATTGATTGATTCTGTTAATTTTTTGACCCACGGTTTAAAACAAAGACAAATTTAGAGAAGATTTATTTGTTAAACAGAACATGAACTTGATAACTGCGATTTTGATCCATCAACGGTTTTAGTTTTAGGCTATGGTTCCCTGTAGGAAATGAGAGAAAAATTTACGGTTTGAAAAAGTACATAACTGTTGAATTCACAGTTACCGAGTAAGAATTAGCCATGAAATTACAGTTGGCTTCACTTAACTTACATGTTTTTTTCATTTTACTCGTGTTATGATCTTAAGGATAATTAGGAATAAACTGAACGGTAACCTCGGTTAAATCAACAACAGTTACTAATTTCTTTTGTAACCGGTAACTGAATAGCCGCGGTTCTAAAAGTAATGGATAACTTCACAGTTAGGTATTACTTGAAAATCTAACTGTAACTTGACACTCTTGATTCGAGTTAGATCATTAGAAATAGACGTTGAATGGATTACTTTAGAATAAGAAAAAAAACTAGAATGTTTGCACGATCAAATAGTTCTACAACAATTTTTTTACGACAATTACACAGCAATATTTGGATGAATAAATAACGATAATAACAACTGAGATAAAAAAACGTCTTATTTTCTAAACTAGCAAGTTACAGAATAGGATGTAGAACACGGCAAAGTAAACACTATAAGCTAATTAGATTTTCTCGATGTCAAATTTCGGTTAATCACTTATACATTCACAATCTAATTCTAGAATGTCGTAACAAAGCAAAAAAAAGAAAATTTTAAGCCTTCATCTAATGTTTGTACTCAATCCGACTTCAGTTATTAAAAAAAGTAAAAAGAAAATAAATGTTTACAACAAAATAAAAAACATTGGGATAAAGAATACCAGCATCTGACGTTTTCTTTTCTTGTATGAATGTTGTTATTATTGTTGTAGTTGTTGTTATTGTTGCTGTTGTTGATGTTATTGTTATTAACGGTAATTTATGGTGTCCTTTTTCGAACGACTCTGGACTATTCATCATCGATGTAGGTTTTGTTACTCTTATTTTCTTCGCTATTTTCCGTTTTTCAGCTAATGCTGAGAACTCCATCAACTTATTTCTATTGTCGTCAATATTTTGTGTACTATCGCATATAGTGGCAGAATTATTTTTACCATATGCCCATATTTGCCATTGTTGGTTTAGCTCAACAAGTATTCCACACATACCAGGTTCGAGAGATGTTTGAATTTTAACTAATTCTCCTGGTTTAATCGAACCTTTATACACTTCATTTACTTGAAAAGTGATGCTGATCGTATCCGACATATTTATATTTTGAGAATGATCAAGAACTGTACCAATAAATATATATTTAGCTTTCCTATAATGATTTTGTTCTAATACTTTCTTAGCACATGAACATGATAAACTGTTTTGAATGCATAGAATAAGTAGACAAAGTATAACGCATACGATCATATTTGTTTTTCTAAGAAAATAAAAAATATTTATAGAAATCTTGTTAAAATAGAAAAAATATTTAAAATAAATTTATTAAATATTGATATAATTCAATTATATCTTACCTTTTAGAGATTATATGTGTATGTATAATGTGTAGATTTCGTCAATGACAGATGTATTATATGAATATAATGATTATTATGGAATCCTTGAAATTCCTATCATGATGTCTTTCTTTTCTTTTTTCTGTCGCTTTTTACTAGAATTATGATTACTATTATCTATTGGAGATAAAAATGAGAGATACAGAAACATAGACAGATAGAATAGTTATGTTTTTATCCTATAGTTTTTATGTATATTTATCTATTCACATCATTAGTGAGAAAGGAAGACGAACCACTGTTATAGCCTTGAATAGATAACTCCAATTATTCACACATTTTTGATACTTGTTCTACATTATAGGCAATATAAGAACATACATGTGCAATCAAAATAAAAAACCCCGAAGTTATAAAACATATACATCTATATAGATTGATCGATGTTGAATGATAAACAAAACTCGAAAAAAGAGAAGAAACTGTAACTATTTATATATGTGCATAAGTAATGGGCATGTTACACGAGAAAGTTGCTCTAGGTTATCTCGATAATCATTGAACCAAATTTTATGAAACTCAGTGCTTAAGAGTTTCTCAACAGCCTCTTTCCTTTCTTCTCTAGAAAGTTTTCTCCAAAACTAGCAGAAGTAAGCTTTCTAGAAAACCGTAGTTTTTGGGCCAGTTGTGTTTTTTAAAACAAATTTTAAAAAACAACCTCAAGACATGAAACATTTCTAATAACATATTTGAATTCAGCGTTGAAACGCGAATATTTTGAAAAAAATCAAGTCTTCAACTCAAAATTTCAAGTTTTGGATTTAATTTGAAATTCAACTTTTTTTACAGCTTAGCTCAGTTAAGCGATAGAAACTTGATTCAAGCGTAGTTGGATAGAGAATTAAAAACTGAACAAACTTAGGGGTTTGACGAGATTCCAGTATCATGTGATCATGGTTCTTTAGAGATCTCCAGCACACCTCTTTTTAATTTCACTTCATTTTCTCTATTTTTTAAATTTAAACTTTAACACTGAACTTTTTCGAACAGATAAAGGTCAAAAATAATTCAAACAAGATTTTTCAACAGTAGTGATACTAGTGGGTGCTATACGAACGAGTGTCGCATTCATGTACTCAACTGCTATAGGTCACGGTGATCATTTTCTCTTCTGGCTCAAACAGACGATGTATATAGCAGAGTACACACAAACAGAAGATCATCGTGACCTCGCTCAAATCACCAGTTATTAAAAATCGCCGATATATCGCAATTTCTGGACCATTATAGTCAAAATTGCGATTCATTGGCTTTTAATTCAAACTTTAACACTGAACGTTTTCGCAGTGATAAAGATCAAAAACATTCCAAATAATCAGATTATTGAAAAATGTTCACTACAGGCACGATCAGATTTTGTTGCGCTGAGACGAGTTATATCAAACGATAGCACTTCACATCAATTGTTTCAATAGAGAAAGTTCAGTTAGTAGACGAAAAAACTTTCCTCCGACCGCGACCGACGTCATCAGATTTCTTGGAACAGTTAGGAAAAAATACAAGAATCAGGCATTTCTAAATAAATATTCTTTTTTATATTTAAAAGAGGTAAACACTCTGATGTGGAAGTGCGTGATTTAGTCTTGAAGAAGAAGAAAATGACTGTCTAGACCTGTATGTATAGAAGGAGACCCACGTCGTTAAAATCGCTGTATTTTGGACGATTACGTGCGATTAGCAATAAAATCGCCAATTAATCACAATTTTGACTATAATGGTTCAGAAATTGCGATATATCGGCCTCATCAGGAAAGGTTCTGGTTAATTTTTAGAGTTCCTGAAAAACCGGTTTTCTAAATCGGATCTCCGGAGACCTATGGGCAGCTACCGTAGTCATACTCGGAATCAGCATAGTCGATAACCTATAATTCACTAGGTTTCGTCTCAAAATCGATCGGACAGTTGGTGGCCTTCCCTCGTGAGCTGTTGCAGTTTTAAAAAAAGTTGAATGTCAAATGGAACTCAAAAACTGAAATTTGAGTTGAAAAATTGATTGTTTTTCAAAATATTCGCCTTTCGATGCTGAATTCAAATATGTTATTAAAAATGTTTCATGTCTGGAGAGTGTTGGTGTACTGTCAGAATCTAGTGAGTATTTTACGAATAAAACTCATTATAGTGATGGAATGTCAAAAAAAATCTGTTTTGGACTAATTAACATCTAAATTGCCTTATGTGGATACCAAAATATGAGCCATGTAATGCCAAAATGCACTATTTTAGCTTCATTATCTTAATTTATAATATATTTTAGTTAACCATCCGTCGCTTACAACACAAGGTCATGATATTTTATTAAGACTTCGCACATCGACTATTTTTATTCGAAAAGATCATGTTAACCTATCGTAACACATTGACTTTGAAAAAGTTTCGCTCGAAACTGATCCTGTAATATACGGTGGCCTACTACTTCAAGAAGGGTTTAAGTTTTTTATGAGTGATTTGTAGCTTAAACTATGAGCTGTCAGATTTTAAATCTACTCAAATCTTCAGCATGAAATATCGAAAACTTCAGATATGGATATATCCATGCACATAAATCTAGAAAATGCTAGTCAGCATGGACTACAATTCAAAAGTAAAACCACTGTTGGATCTCTCTAGGTTTACATACA